CCAGTACCTGGCTACTCAAAGGGCAGCCATGGACATCACCCAGAAGACACAGAGGCCCACGCCCCCACCCACCTGCTGGTTCAGGACCTACATTACAAAGGGTGGAGGTGAGGGGAAGCCCATGAAGTGGGAGAAGCTCCACCACCAGTGAAAACCAGCCTCTGTCTGAGAATCGTCCATTGACCCAGTCTCTTCACCCAGTGAGTAAGTAAATGAACTGGACGAATCCTTTTCTGTGCTCTGATTTCCCATCTCTCAAATGGGCATCATTCGTCTTTACCTATTTAACAGTCAATAGGTGGAGATAGTGACTTTGTATTCAAATACGTCACCTTGGTAAGCAAGTTCCAAGATGTTATATGAAGTATATGTAAACATTGAAATTATAAATGTTCTTCAGTAACGACAATTTAATTTCACTGCTTAGAGAATGAGAGGCCTTCACAGCTGGGCTGACACTGAGGTTCCCTCAGCTCAACTGCATTCCACAATCTTAACGTACCCAGATGCAAGTGATTCTCCAAAAGGTACTTTGAGTAAAAACCTTCAAGGAGACGATTCAATTTCCAAATGTAAATTCCAACAACATATAGCGGGACCACTATTGCTTCCAATTTCCTGGTGAGAAATGAGGTTTTCGACAAAATGAGATTGCCTTTGACATTGTTGCTGTTCCTGGGAAGGGTTTTTGAATGTTAAAAGAAGCTGTTTCTACTGGGAAAGGATTTGTTCATGTAGAGTTGAAAGTTTACACTTGTTATGCATGAGATCAAGGAAGACAGAAATGATGTAGAAAGACATGAATGTGTTCAATGTCATGTGGTTTGAAGGGCTTGTTTCTGAACCTTAATTATGATCTGTCACTTGAGTACGAGATTCTTGCCACACGTGAACATGAAACGTGGAACCCACCGATGTCTCTCCCCAAACACATCCCCTTCACCCTATGGCATTTCCTGCTGTCAGCACATGCATCTGTGCCCCGCAGCCCGGAGTCAGTTAGATCCACAATTCAACTGCAAATGGAATAGCAAATTCAGATTCTAGATATTTTGCTGTTAACAAAATTATGATGGTCAAACATTATCAGATTTGTATAAGCAATAATATAAGCAGATGAACTTACTCCAGGAAAACACAAACTCTCCACATGTGATGATAATTTTCTTTATTTGATTTTCATTATTTGACACACAAGAATACATTGTTAGGAGAGGAGACCTTCCTTGTAGCATTAAAACTGAAATATGGGCATTCAGCCATTAATACCACTAAACTACTTTTTTTCACCCCAAAATTGTGTGATGTTTAGATGACACAGAATGAATCGATCTGGAGCCTTGACTTGTGCCGGATTGAGGGGGTCCTAGGTGGAGAACACTTTCACGGTCAGAACCATGGTATTCTTCCTATGTTGGACATCATCTGATCCAACAGATTTATAATAAAGGCCACTTTTAATCAGCTGTACACTGAGGAACTTTGACAAATATAAAGGGGAGAAGACCGAGCCTGTGCTCTCGCTTCATTTCTGATCCAGTGGACTCTGTGGCCTTGGACAAGGCACTTATGCTTTCTGAGCCTCTGTCGCTTTATAAAATGAGTAGCACTGGACTGTCCCTGAAATGCCAGATCTTACCATTTAAAGGACATTTGAGTCTCTCCTTTACGCTGGGCAGAGTTCCCAGGCTTCCTCCAGTTCTGAGGCTCTGCTGGCAACCACCCAGGGCAGGCACACAGGAGCAAGGCAGAAACTCTTCTACCCCAGCCCCCCTTTCTTCCCTAGATGCGTTTCTCTGTCTCCCACTGACCAAAGAAACCGTTCATTTGAGTCCCTTAGATCCAGTGCAGCTCTTGATGGGAGAGGAGGAGGCTCAAGAGTAGCTGATAATTTCAGGGAGCATTTTTCTGAGCTCTGAGCACAAATCCATCTTTCATATTAGATGCGACCACCAGTCAGCAGGGTGTGTTTTAATAATTATTGCAATTTCATGTTGGCAGAAAGACACTGCCAGATAGGAGCCTTCAAGGGAAATTCTTGCTATGGGGGTTGCTGGAATCTCTGTACCTTGGCTCAGAGTTTCCCAGCACATGTGAGCACATACTGGCTTCCCCAAACTATGCTCCACGCTGTACTCACCCTACTGTCTGAGGGATCCAAGACATGCGTCCCGACAGTGTCCATGCCTGCCAGGATGCTCTGAGCGAGCACTGAAGGGCTGGTCTACTTGGGCAAAACCATGGTATCCAGTATAGATGCCAGGACGGCATTTCCGCCAGGCCACAGACAGCCTCTCCCTAGCTACTCAGATCTAGTGAAAGAATTAGAAGAAAACACAAGATACCAAACTGAAGTGTTCATCTTATTTCACTTGCTTTGAATACCAACTCTCTATGATCAAGAATTACTTGAACTGTTACATGTTGGTAAAAATATTCTTTATGTGTTTTGAATGGTGCTTTATTTCAGCCAGTGTTCCAGTGTGCTCATGATAACAGCAACGTGATTCTTGAACAGTCTTCCTTTTATAAGCTGAAATACCATCATGCTAAAGGCCTATTAAAAACAGAATTCAAAGTTTCAAATGCCCACACCAACAGTTTTGATCACCCACAGTTTTACATTTTGACTATTGCAGTATAATCTGAAGTATTCAATTCTGGGCTATAACTAAAAAAATAGTTACAGAAAATCTAACTTTCAAAAAAATAACCTAACAGATCCCAGACCCAGAAACTAATAGTTTGCATGGATAAATTTTGGGTCTCTAAAAAAGTACTATAAGTAACAAATAATATTTAATAGATTCAGAAAGTATAGAGACAGTGAATACTCCTAGGAAGTTATCATCCACAGTGGGTTGCAGTCTGTATTGTATTCTTTCTGGTAGTTGCACATTGCTCCTGTTTTTATATAAATCTCAAATATGATATTTACTACATGTACATGTGATAAAGTGATCAAGAAAAATATTTCCAATACTAAGCACCCCTTGCCCCATCTTAAAGGAAACTGTGACAAAGTAGTAAATTCAGCTAAATGGGATCTCTGCAAAAGGGGTTAAAATATAACCCATTACAAGTTGGGGGGCCATTATAAATGTTACCCCAATAAAAGCCAGAAACAGGAAGCCCAAAAGCGGGTCCCTACCACATGCATGTGTCTTGAATGACACCATTTGTCAAGTTTCCAGTATCTTGTGATGGTGAACAGAGGGAGAAGCTCTGTGTGGTACTGAGGGCATTACATCCTCATTAGCCCGAATGTTCCTTAAGTACATAATGCAGGATTTCATTTTAATAAGCAGCAGCTACTTGTCAAGACACTTTCATTAGATAACTGCTGAATGTAATACTAATGACCATTTATAGAGGCTCTATTCTACTCTTGAGAAACTCCACTCACATGAAGTCATAGAATAACAATGTGTAGAATGTACTGTGCAAAACCTCTGTGTCATTTCTTTGAAAGCTATTACCTGATATTTTGTTTTGTTTTGTTTTGATGAAATTGGTCAACAGTGGAAGTCATCATCAAAGGGACCCAAAGTGACATTGCTGGCATTTTTTTGCAGACAAAACATTTGAAGGCATAGCATTTGGCTTTTTAGAAGTCACGATAGAATGGTGAAGAATAGTTTCTCGGCAACTTACCCTAGTTAAGCCCCCTCCATTTGCCCGGCCAGAGACTACAAAGCTGCTGTGCAGAGAACTGAGAAATAATTCATTGGCCATGATCATTCAGCCCAGGCCCTGTCCCTAAAACAAAGACTGACAATTGCTCTGAATTATGGATGTACTTTTTGTGATATGTAACACAGTTCAGGAGAAAGGTGTTAAGAGCATCGCACTGCTTCACCTCCCATTAGAGGCTGGTCTTGAATGATAATCCCAGAAGATGAAATTGATGCTGAACTATGACCCTTAATTTACAAATCATTTTTCAGAAGAATAAAAAAAAAGTTGAAACATATTTTTGGCATTATCTAAATGGGCAGAATCTTTCATGCTTATTTTCTAAGAATAAATGAAAACAGCAAGACCTGTAGTTTCTTAGTTTGGGAACCGAGCATGAGGTTTTCAGATTATATTTTATTTTAAACCTGGGTGTTTGAAAAATTTTTTTTTTACGTTGCTGAATTTAGTATAGTCCTTCAAAACATAATAAATTCCTATTCTGTAGCTTCAGGGGTCCATCAGTTAAAATGTTGGTCTTTCATTTTTATTACCCTCCCATTAAAATGAAAGAAACCGGGACCCACTTCAGTTTAGAAGCAGCAGTTTCGTGGGCACTGTCCTTACTCCTCGAGTCTTGACAAAGAGAGAAAGGACATCGTCGCATAGACTTCACACATCTGTCTGCGTGAGAAGTGACGAACTCTGTCAGACAGACACTGTTAAATTGTGTAATATTCTTTGATGAGATGATTCGATTGCAATATTTTCCCATCACCCGTCATTTCCTGTGCAGTTACATTCATGAAACCTGTCCCCTCCCCTTTGTTAGTTTGTGTATCTAAAAGCAAGGCAAAGTCTCCTTCTGTTTTGCTACAGCTGTTAGGCCTGAAAGGGACAGATTAATAACTGAGCACCACACTGGCCCGGCTGTTCTTGTACCCTGCACTAGTAACCCTGTGCTATCATGAGGACACAAAGAGCCTCACATCAGGCTGCTCCCCTTCTTCATAACTCAAAAGCATCACAGTGGCAATAGCCTCTAGTGCTATTTGTCTTTAGTGCAGTTGTGACACTTCTGCATGATCCATAATTTGGCAGCTATTTACCGTGACATTTCCCTTCAGTGCAGCCATAACATTCAGTGAAGCCATTATTTGGTCCCATTTACCATATAAATTGTATTGTTGTGCATGCATGCTAGCAGCTACATTAGGTACCTGAAAATGAGTAAATCTTGTAAAATAGATACTAACAGCTATTCAGCAGTAGGATTTCCTTGCTCCTCAGACAGAAGGAAAGAAAGATTAAATATGGTCACCGAGTTTCGTGGAGCACCTTTAATTGCATTCCTATTTATTTAGCATGTTAGATACATCGAAACTCAAGGCTTTGAAAAATAATCTGGTGGGCTTTGCCCTCAATTAGAAAGGCACTCTGGGATTTCCCACTTAAGGATGGGAGCTGTAGCGGTCCGCAGTGAGCTGAAGGCCGGGAGGCAGGTGGATCAGCTAGAGGCGTGCTTCCGAAGAGAAGGTGCACGACTTGTTCATTTTGTGTGTGACATCAGCCACAGTGACAAGAAGCATCTCGTTCCATCAGAACACGTGGAGCAGTAGGATGGGAACATAGGAGCAGCGTCCTATGCTGAACATCCTCATCTCGTTCCATGTCTGAATATCTATAACCCGAAGTGGATGTACAACGCTTCTAGGGTCATCTGGGCCTCCTGTGCACAGTGCTGTGTGATGTCTGCAGTGTGCTGGGTTCACCTCGAGGGATACCCAGGGGGCTCTCCCCTTACGGTACATGTTTTGTGATGGAGCCCCTCACTGTGGAGGCGCACCAACTTTCCCTTTCTGGTGCATGCATTAACTTTTTAAAGTCTTTCAAATCTCTGTTTTTGTCTATGTAAGTTATCAACACAATTTTGCTTCTCAAGAGAGGAATTTTTTATTCCACACATGCCCCACCAGGATGGTTGTGCATTAAAAGCCATTAGTAATAGACATTTATTTAAAATAGGTCTGTGTTCACTTAATCAGTTTGCTAGTAATCTAGCAAAATCAAACTTTTCCAGTAATCTAACAACATTTCTTCAGATTTCTATGTAGAGTTGGTTAGTGATTTATAGAAAAAGACCACTTCCTGAAAATATGGACTCTGAAAATATATGGGCGAGTTTTTGCTATATGTCTCATTAATTAACTACTTGTTAACCTGAGACCAACCCCCCCTCCAAAAAGCAAAGTATTTGTGAACTGTATTCAAGACCAATTTTAAAATCTCATCAAGCTTAAGACATACTGATTTGATCAGATCTTGCATCAGGAATTAATTTAGTTCCCTGGAACAATAAAATCTGGAATGAGACTGTCCATGACTAAAGAATTAAATGTAAAGGTTTTACCTCTGAGCCATTGAAGGAAGTTTTATTGGCATATTGTTTTTCAAGGGAGGGGCAAGAAAAACAAAAAGAAGAAAAAGAGAAATATATTCATTAACACCTTACTATTGTGTTAAGAAATATTATATCTACTACCACCTAAAAATAAATTGATTTGAGTAATTCTGAAGGCTAAAGTGCCTATTTTCTTTCTCCTTTGATTTATGTCATTGTTCTGTTTTTACAGCTTACTGTTGACAGAGGGAGGTAATTCAACTACAATTTTCCCAGTGTTTTTTCCCATGTACATATAATCGACAGCCCGGAATACAGACTCCAGGCCAGTAAACCTGCCCTCGGCAGACAGATCACCCAGGTCCACCTCACAAACCAGCTCCCCATCTGCATACATCTGAATCAAGTGGTCCATGGCTGCTTGATGTTCAGAAAGGTAATGGTTCACAAAGAAGCCCAGGACACTGGCGGATTTCTTTAGCAGCTTGGCTGGTAACGTTCCTGCTTCCACAGGCGGAAGGCCAGTAGGAGTTTGGTAGCCAGAGACAAACCCAATTACCATCAAGCGCCCTTTGATGGCCAAGGCGTCTACAGCCAAGTCAAACATGGCCCCCCCGACAGATTCGTATACCACATCGACACCTTTGGGGTACTCCTGCTTCAGGACAGTACGGACGTGCTCAGAATTATAGTTGATGGGACGATCACAGCCAACAGATTTCAGAAAAGCACACTTTTCATCGGAAGAGCAGGTTCCGATTACATGGCACCTGGCCTTCTTTGCTAGCTGCACAGCAAGGTGGCCCGTCCCCCCAGCTGCTGCTGTCACCAGAACTTTCTTCCCTTCCGACAGTCCTCCAAGCTCTTTCAGGCTGATGTATGCGGTGGTACCACTGAGCAACAGGGTGAGGTACTCAGGTTCCACAGAGGGCACTGGTGTTGCAATGCTGGCAGGCACCACTGTGTACTCAGCAAAAGAGCCAGGTGTCATGTAAGCCACAGTCTGGCCCACTGTGTACCTGGCACTAGCAGAGAGGCCCAAGGCCACCACCTCTCCTACACCTTCAAAACCTACATCAAAGGGGGTCTTCACTGATGGGTCGTATCGGCCGGCTGCATAGTTGATGTCAGATGCATTAACACCAACAAATCTAGAAGAAAACACACACACACACACACACACACACACACACACACACACACACACACACAAAATATATTAAAATGTTTTCTTTGTCCAGGACTTTATGTTCTGCTTACAAAAATTCCTCTAATTCCAGTGACTGTGGAGGGATAGCTTAGCTACATATTCTGATAGGATTTGAAAAAAATCATCAGTCCTAATATTCTGTTCAAAAACAGAAATTAAACAAGTATTAGTTGAACAGTGATTTGCAATCAGAGTTTTGGTATATTTTAGTCTATTACCGATTTAGGAACGATTTCATACCACTTTAAACATCAAGTTTCACATGCCATTTATTTCCCTCCTTCTTCATTCAAAAGGAGAAATAACTACCTCCCCCCACACCCCCCAAAAAAGTCAGGAAGTTCTCTTATACACAAACTTCCCTGGAGCTATGAGTTGGAAATTAATTGGCTTCTTACCAAAGATGTTAAAAACAACAGTGGGGTAAAATATATTCAGAGAAGTAGACTTGTATTGATTGTGGCAACAATTTAACACTTCAGATAATAATAGTAATGACAATGATATTACTAATGATTGATGTAATGTGCAAGGTCATTGGCTGTTCCATGCGGCTACAGGGGTTGTTTAAAACATTGTTAGAGTGGCTGCAGCAAATTTTCTTTCTGACGTAACTGTGTCCAAGTGTGAAAATATGTATTTTGATTAATCGAACAAAAATTGTCTCATAAGGGTAGAGAGGTTTTTATGGAACATTCAACGTTTTACAGTTCTTTCCAGATGAAAAGGAGAGCAAATTGTCACTATATTTTTCCTCAACAAGAAGCAGAGACATAACTTGATTAATACCAGATGATTATTTTCACTTTGGTATCCAGAGTCAATTTAATTGCGTGGCCGGTATTTTTACCAGCTTTTTCCCTCTCAGTATACCTCATAACAAAAATATCCTCCTGCATAAGTAAAAAAAGCAGTCTACTAAAAAAATGTCAGGAGGTGGCTTAGACACATAATGGAGGACCCTAAAAATGTCATTTCCACCTGTAATGAAATGAAAAGATGGTGGTATCTGGTGGCAGGAGGAAACCTGGTAAGTAGGTCATTTTAAAATAATTCACTTTTAATTTAACTTAATAAACTAAAACTGCCCTGTGTAAAGCCCCACTTCCACTGTAAGATAGACAATACTTTGCACTTATAAATGCTCCCTCAAGATTATGCCTTGTGTACCTATGACAATGAAAGTTCTCTACATATTGTAGAAATAAGAAAGCAGGAAACAATTTTGGGGGGGCACATCAAGCTGCTTTCTGAAGTTAGCATGCCACACCAACTCAGTAGCAGGCTGCAGAATGCCATACTCACAAATGATGCACAATAATGGGAGGTGGGAAAAATGACTTTTGCTGGTTTCTTATTTGGCATTTAATACCAAGATGCCTACATTCGATTGGTGTGGGGTGGGGGTGGGGGGTGCAATCTTTCTTTAAATTTACATATTTCTGAAGGCCTGGTTTTTCAAAAAAGCTCCAGCTTCCTGAGCACACGCTTCTGGACTTCACAGAAGGCAGCCAGGGCAGAGCCCAGCCGAGCGGCGACCCTCCCGGTGCCCCTGCCGGAGGCTGCCACGCGGACTCGGGGGAGGCGTCGGCGGGGTGGAAGTGGCGGCGGGCTGCCTTAGAAGCAGGGAACTGGGGCTGGGCCGCAGCCCTCTGCTCTTCTCCTACGATTAACCCTTCCCGTTCCCCTCGCCGCACCCCAACTGGGGAGGCCCTTCCTCTGAAGGGAGCCCCCACCTTGGACTCGAGGGGGGCCCCTGGGGTCCTCCCCACGGCGGAACAAGCGCGCCTGGGGGGTCCCGCGGGCGGGAAAGTGCTGCTGGAGGGAAACGCAGCCCCCGTTCCCACCCGCCCCACGCTGGGGTTTGCCACTTCCCTGGCAGAGGGGGCGCACCCAGCAGGGCCCTCACCCGGGAGAGAAGTCCGGGGAGAGGCCCCCGCGCCGGGGCGGGGGCGCAAAGCCAGGCTGGGGGCGGAGTAGCGGGGCTCTGCGGGAACCTGCGGCCGCGTGGTGCTCACCGTGGGACTTGGCTTAAAAAGTCAAGTAGACAGCGCGGCGGAGCGCACTAGGCGCCCTAGCGGTGGCGGGAGAGCCGCAGGCCTGCCCGCGCCCCGTCCAGGCTGCGCCCGGCCCTCTGCCTCCCCTGCGGCGCCCTCGATGCCCCGGGTGCAGCCCGCAGGTGCCTGAAACCGACGCTTTGACGACTCCCCTCGGAAGTGTCCGGCCTTCGCTGAGCGCCTGGCCTCCGGCCCCGCGGAGAGGCTCGGCAATGACCCACTGCCAGGCGGTGGAGGCGCGCCGGCCCGCACTGGGGTGCACGGCGGCCGCCCAGATCTGCGACCGTGACCTCGGCCTCCGTGGGTCGGGTAGAGTCCTCGCGGGCGAGCCCAGCTCACATGCGGGGCGCAGGGCCGGGCCGGTTCTCGGGGAGCCCGGAGCGCGGGGGCCCGCCGGCGGCGGGACCCTGACCTCGTCCTTGAGCGCACACCCTCCGCCGCCCCGCCGTCTCCTACATGCCCACGGCCCGCGTCGACGGCGAAGGAGTCTCGGGCTGGCGGCGACATTCCGCGGCTACTCGGTTCGGCGCGCCTCGCCCTCCCCAGGGTCGCCCGGTCCCGGGGTCCGCCCAGCTGCCCCCCGGACCCTGCGGTGACGCCGCGCGGCCGCCGCGGCTGGTAGGAACCCGCCACCGCCCGGTGGCGCCTGCGTCCTTACCTGGGCTTTGGGAAGAGCGGCGCGAGGGTCGGGAGCCCGCGCCTTCTGCTCGCCCAGAAACAAGTTCAAGAGCAGCAGGCGCCGTGGGAAAGGGGGCCCGGGGCGTGGAGCTGGGAACAGGAAAGGCGAGTGAGCGAGAGAAAGAGCGGAAAGACACGCTGGGAAAGATCAGCGCATCTGGGGGCTCTGTACCCCTTCAATTCAAAATGCGTGCTTTAATGAATGCAGGGTTCCAGCAATCCGACGGGAGGATCCACTCAGAAGACCTCAGGAAAATGAAAATCAAGGAACCTCAGGAAAAAGAATGGGACCGGGGCAGGCTTTCCCCAAATATATAACCTTCTAAGGTCTCCGGTTTATTTATACTAAAAAGTGCTGAACCTCTTCGTGATGTTTATTGTGAAACAGAGCAGTCCTGCGGAGGAAGGGAAACGCCTTCTGTGAACAAAAAAACCCAAACCGAAGACTCAAGTGCGGAGCAAAAGCTTTCAATACTGGGAGACACACAACGTCGTCCAAACCAGACCTTCCTTTAAAAAAAAAGGGGGGAGGGCGGAATAAAATAAAGGCAAGAAAGAAAGGAAAAAGAAAAAACAATCTCGGCCTGGAGGGAGAGTCAGCAGAATAGTGTTACCCTCCCGTGAGGAACAAACCGTTTATCAAAAAACGCCTTCCCCATCCCCCACCTCCTCGCTGCCATTCCTACAAACTCTTGGCTCCATTATCTTACGCCTGAGCGGAAAATCGTTAGAAATATTTGGAAACGAAATAATGTGTCACTATCGTACGAAAAAAAGCTAAAAATAGCGCGCACAGTGACTTAACCGGAGGGTGCCCTCTCCCTTTTTTTTTTCTGAGGGTTGGGCTTGGGGGTGTGGGGCGGGGGGGGGGGAGCTGTCCTCGGATGTACGAACCAGGAACGCGGGAGTTGGATAAAGGATCATCAATTATATGTTCTGGAGGGATTTCATGCGCCCCTTCTCACACCTTTCCTAAATGGTAAACTTGATTATCCTAAATCGATGTCTAGCTTAAAAGCACTTCCCTGCCTGTGAATAAAGAATTTGTATTTTCTGTTAAGATGGAATGAGGTGTGCAAATGGTTTAATTGAAAGAAAAAGTCAGACGGAGCACAATTAAAACCTTTAAGCACCTTTTCAAACAAGTGAATTTGGTTTTCATACATTCATTCCAAAGCATATTTTATCATGATAAAAAAAAAGTGTTTGCTCAAAATTTTCATGCAATTAACACTGTTAGGGGACAGTGGATCTAGGATTAAAATGAACTAACCTGCTGTGAACAGACCTGCCTCCTATTCTTAAAAAAAAAAAAAAAATCGGTGAATGCCTCCTGCACTGACCCGGTTTGCAAGTATAAAGGTTTTCCCTACAATTTAGGGTAGGAGCAGATTTTCCAACAGCGTGGGGAAAGGGGGAGGCAAAGATTCCCCCGCTCCCCCCTAACACGCAGAAAACTGACCGGTTCTCTTTCCGCTGCGGACTTCAAGGTTAGAGGTCAAGTTATTTATATTACAGGGATTCTTGGCATATGTGAAGGCATGGATCTTAAAGTACAACCCAAACCAATGCGCTACCTAAGTGCGAGCTGGCACTCCAAAGGTCTAATCATCCAATTCAGGTACCGACCCTGGACACCCAGCTCGGGGGCGCGGACAGCGTGGGAAGACCGCTACGGTGGAGGGAGAGGGGTGGGAGGGCACCCCGAGTTGGCGTAGAGCTCAGGTGGAGGCCGAGGCGGGAGCACGTCCACCGCGGGCGGTGGTCCCAGCTTGCGGCTTCTGGAAATGCTCTAATTTCACACCTTCCCGCCTGTCCGCTTGGCACCCTCCTACTGCACACCTCGCTACTAAAATAGCTTTTATTCAAGCAGTTGTGTGTGTGTTTACGTCAGCGTCCAGTCAGTAGGGTACTTCATCAGAAAAAAGCCTGGGTTAAACTTTTTGCCTGTTAAAGTCTCTTCGGAGCCTTTTCCGCCTGGATCCCTCTAGCTTGTAGCGAATCACTCGTGTGCTGTGTTCTGCGTGCACACACATGAGCCGTTTTTTAACTTGGCAGGACGCATGTTCTTGTCTCCACAGCCTTAGTGTCTCGTCGCTAATGAAGAAACATTCTCAGTCCTGTTTCCACCACGGCAAACTTTTTAAAGGAGACACATCCCCATCCCTTAAGGTAGCACCCCCACCCCCAGTCTCCACTCAATCCCACCCTTGCCTCACTCAGTTTTTACGTTTCCAAAAGTTTCATATCAGGATCAGAATTCTTCAGCCTTAGTGTTGTTTGGAAAGCTGATCATGAAATTCTAAAATGGACCAATAAAACGTCTCATCAGCTACGGATGTAGGGTACAATTTGTCCTTCAGTCCTTGCTAGGGACTTATAGTGCCTCCCAGCACACAATTTAAAACATAGTTACAAAACACAGAATTTACGACTCCCCTGCACGTAATGTTTCAGCCTGAAATAGGCAACACTGCAACCCCGCGGACTGGACCGAGCGGGCGGGAGAGTCCTGCTCTAGCGAAGGGGATGCTGGAACTGGGGACGTCCTGCCTGCAAGTCTGGTGGAGCGAGGGCCCACGGAGCAGAGGCCGACCGGCGTGGCTCAACAGAGTGAGTCCCTTAACTTCCTGTTGCTTCACCAGTTACTAAGGATCAGTGTGTGAGGCGGAAACACTTAAGGTGGGGAGTGTGGAGGTGGAAACCACAGTCAGAAGGTCTGCAGAACATGCGGGCAAATGTAGGCATGCCCCCGCCCCGGCCCTGGCCCAGCCTCCCAGGCGCGCCACGCGCCGGTCGGCACACTCTCGGCAAGGCAACAGTCACACAGTACTGACAACACGCAGATGACACCGGCGAGGTGAACGTCAACACACCCACGACAGGCCCGCCTTTGCAAGGCGGCTGTCAACCTGGAGCGGACAGGAAAAGCCGGCCGGCCTCCTTCCTCCAAATCACGTTACCTACACGTCGCAGTGTGTGTCCTGGCTGCTCCTGCTCCACCCTAGAGATTGTGTGAACGCAGGAGCCGTGGGTGCGCGCGGGTGGGCCGGGCGGGGAGCCTCCCTTTCTGAGTCCCGTCGGTTTTATTTCGAGAGAGGGAGGGGGAGGAGAGAGGGCTGGGGGAGGGGACGGGGATCCCAAATTTAAATAACCCTCTGTTATAAGGACGTTGGGTGGCATCGGATATTCGCACCAGCAAGTCATATTACATCCGCCTTCGCCAGATGGCGGCGGGTTCAACTTCCCGAGATCTGGCAGTCAGGCTGTGCGCCCGAGCGCGCGCCGGAGTGTGCGGACGCAGGCGGGCCGGGACAGCCGGGAGCGGCGCAGCGCGGCCGGGGCCGGGGCCGGGGCCGGGCAGGGGGCGCGCGCCGGGCTCACCGGTTCCGGACGAGGAGGTCTCCGTCCCCGGGGAGTGGCACCGGGCAGTCCCGGCGCAAGGTGACCGCCTCGCGGAAGTTGGGGCTCAGCCGGGTCACCACCAGCTTCTGCATGGCGTTGGGGATGGCGGAGCCCTGGAAGTCCAGGAAGTGGCGGGCGTACGACATGTCCACGATGGCTCGGGCCCAGGCGGGCGCCAGTCGCAGCATGGCCCGCGCCTCCGCTCGCGTTCTGCGCCGCCGCCGGCCGGAGTCGCGCCCAGCCCGGGCCGCTCGGCTCGGCTGGGCTCGGCTCGGGCGGGCGGAGCGGGCGATTCCGCCCCTCCTCCGGCCCGCGCCCTCCCCTCGGCTCCCCTCCCCACTTCGCCGGCTCCCGCTCCCCCCGCCCGCCCCGCCGCGCGCAGCGCAGGAGTCCGCACGGCCCCCGGGGCCCCGGGCGTCCCGCCCCCGGCGTCCCGGCCGGGGACCGCAGCCGCCCCGGCCGCTGCTCCTTTAATCTTTTTGTTTTGGTTTGAATCTGCTCGGCGCAGACTGGCCGAGGATCCTCTCCGCCCTCCCCCTTCCTCCCCGCGCCCGGGAGGCACCGGATATCCCCACCCTCCCCGAGCTCTAAAAGCCGGATTTGACTCCTCTGAAAGGGCGAGGGGGGCGGCGAGGGGACCCGCGCGTCCCGCGAGCGCAGCGGCCCTAGCGGCGCAGCCCCGGGCGTCTTCCGAGCGGCGCGGCGCCCGGCGGCCGGCGCAGGCACCTCCCCTTCCCGTGCGAAGCGTTCACTTCCTTGCAAGGTGGTACGAATCAACCCCGAGCGCGGCCGGGGCGGCGGGGCACGGCCGGGGCCCCGGGCCGGGCGGGGAACCCCCAGGACCACTGCACGCGCACAAGCCTCAACCGCGGGGCGGGGGGCTCCTGGGGCACTCTTCGCCCCAGATCTTGGCCCCCAGTCCCCGGAAAGCGTTGCCGCGCCTTTTGCCCTCAGTCTGTCCCGTGCAAGTTACACGAACTAAACCGTTGTATTTATTTTGGCCTAGATTTCATGTTTTTCCATGAATGTTTTAAGTCACCTCTACAAGACTTACAGGTTTCCCATTGGGAAAGAACACACATATTGGCAACTATAGGGCCAAATCCCCAAAGCACACAAACGTTTTAAACTTAAACTTCTAGGCGGGGAAGCTGAGGGACTTAATTGAATTGGAGATGTTTCCATTGCAAAATGATGTATGAAGACCTCATTTTGTGATCCAGCTAGAAAGATCTACAGTGCCGGTTTTCTCCCTAATTGTCTGTATTGACCAAGTAATCAATTCACTTTTCATAGAGGAGCCAAATTAAATATTTTCCACATTTTTGTGTGATGAACTACATTGATCTTTAAATTTTTATTGAAGGTACACATTTCAATAATAAAGCCCTCTTGTTTTCTACTTACCCATGAATTGTCAAAATATGAATGCCACACAGTGCTCCTCCCCAATCAAATCTAACCCCCAAACTAAGATTGCAAAAGTGACACAGGCATTTTTATCTCAAATGTCTGACACTCTTCATCCAAGGGTGGTTTGTGTCCACGTGGGTGCGTGTGTATGAATGTTTAAG